TTGTCAAAGCGATTAGTTTCCCACGAATAACTGCCTTCATACCGTCCCACAATATTGCAGGGTTCACCTCCCCATTATCATTCTCTTCTATGTACCTTTTTATTTCTTCTCTTATCTGATCCACATTTGCCTTATTGTTCAAAATGCTCACATTTAGCCTCCATACAGTATTTATTTTCCTATTATTCAAGTGTATTGTCAAGCTGATCCCACTGTGATCTGATACATCTGCCATCCCGATTTTACACTCTGTGACCCTGTGACTTTCACTTGTATTAATTAAAAAGTAGTCGATTCTGGAGTAGACAGAATGAGGTACTGAATAGTGTGTATAATCCCTTTCTAGTGGGTGAAGTTCTCTCCACACATCAATTAGTCCCATTTCCTTAACTGATGTATTAATAAACTTGGTTAGATGCATCTTGCTTCTTTTGGGGCTTGTTGTATCCAATTTATGGTTCATGACCACATTATAGTCTCCCCCACATATCAAAATACCTTCAGTTTCTATAGCAATAGTGTCAAACAGAGTTTTGAAAAAACATTTGGTATTCTCTGGGGTGGCGTATACATTGATCAGTGTCACCATTCTGTTTTCTAGCTTTCCTTTAATTAATACAAATCTCCCCTCATTGTCCCTAACTTCTTTAAGACATTCAAATTGAACTGCATTTGTGATAAGGATAGCCACTCCCCTCTTCTGGCTAGGTTTGTAGGAACTGTAAAATGTATTCCTAAAACCAAAGCGTTTTAGCTTTTCATATTCTTGTTGAGGCAGGTGAGTTTCTTGTAAAAATAGTACTTCAGCCTTTTCTTTTTTCAATTTAGCCAGGACCTTGCTCCTCTTAACTGGATTATTCATCCCATTTACATTAAGTGACACCTGTTTTATGTTATTATATGGCATTTAAATGATCCAATCCTGTGTTACATTCATTAACCTCCAGACAATTTAAAACTGCACAGACCTGAACATCTGGACTACGTGTGCTAACTGAAAAAAACAAAGAAAAAACAGTTAAATCCCAAGTTAGGGTGATTCTTCGCCACCCTGAGTCCCCGTTGGTAGGCAGAGGGGAGATCCTCCTCCAGGGGGGCCCCTCACTAGAGGTGAAACACGCCATTTCACACATCCTAGTAGTCCAACGTCATCCGATAGCATTTATTTTGTGTTCCAAATGAAGTCTTCAGCATTGGTCTTAAATGTTTTGGCCCCATATACCAGCTTAAAAATAAAAAATAAATGAATAAAGAATAAAATAGCTGCCCTACCAAACCACCCATGTATAATGATTTCAGGCTCACACCACGGGCAGAAGTGATGTAATAGTCATTTAAACGTTAACTTCTCACAGCTGGTTTCACTAAGGGGCCAAGTAAATTTCACATACCGTGACAAAGTAAAGAATTAAAATTAGTTGGAGGCGTTCCGCTCAAATTCCTGTAATCTTTCCCTCGCATGGTGCTCAGTGTCTTCTGTGCTCCTCTCTCTTGCTGCTCTCTGCCATGTCGAGGCCCGAAGAAGCTGCTTCATCTCCCGGTTTGGGTCCGCGGCGCTACAGCCTGGTATCTCCACCGTGTAACCTCTCTTCCTCAGCTCCTGCGCTGCATCTTGTGCACTCTCTTAAGTATGTGTTCCCGAGTCCCAGTGAATGCGCATCTTGTCCAGTGGAGTCTGGAAACGGATTCCTTTCTCTTTCAGTAGTCTCTTTATCCTTGTATATGCCTTGCGCTTCTGAATAATCTCTGTGGCATAATCATGGTCAAACGACAGGCGTCGCCCTTCAATCATTATTTTCTTTCCCCAGGCTTTTTTCAGTACTGCTTCTTTGGTATTAAACTCCAGAAAATTTACCACTATGGACCTGGGTGGCTCGTTCCGCTCTGGTTTGCGAGCTAGAACTCTGTGGGCGCGCTGAATCTGTAAGCTAGTGTCCGCTGTCAGTGCAAGTTCACTTTTCAGAAGTTGCTCCACGAAGTCAGACACGGAGTTGCCTTCTTTCCCTTCGGGTATGCTATAAATGCGAATGTTGTTCTGCCTAGATTGTCCCTCCAGATCTGTCAACTTCTCCTGCATGGCTTTCTGTCTTTCCATGGACTTAATGAGCGCCTCTTTCATAGCCATGTTAGCCGATTCGGTCTCGTTGATCCGTGCTTCTGCTTCATTCAGCCTGGTTTCATGGGCCTGGATCCTAGCGGAGTTAGCAGAAAGTTTTTGGTAAATTTCCTGCTTCAGATCTTTGAGTTCATTTTTCATATCTTCCTTGAGTTCTTCTTTGAGACTGTGTCGGTCCGCTTTATGCTCAGCCCTGAAGTCACGTATTTCCTTACTGATACTTTGAAGCACTGAGTACATGTTTTCTGCAGAGCTGTCGTTAGAGCGCTGAGCGTCATCCATCTCCGGTGTTTTCTTCCTTTCTTGTGTGTCACGTTTCGTTTGACTTCTAGTTGTTACTCCCCTGTTCATTCCAAAGTAAAATTACTATGAATTGCTTAACAATTAGTGAATTTAGGGGGGCTAATTCTAACTTGCTATCGGGAGCTCAAGATCATGCAGCCATCTTGTCGTCTCGCTCCACCGGTAGTCCGAATTTTCAAAGTTTTGAACTTTAGACACTTGCTGTAGCGCCACCATCAGGACTATTGACTTGTGTTTGCAGCTGAGCAAATCTGGCATAGGACTGAACTTTTGTGCAAAGTTTAGGGATTTTTCCTGCATGGGAAGTAGGATTTCCTTGGAAGAAGAAGAAAGAACGAGCAGGAAAACAAGAGGGTCTTGGCAGGATTGCCTGCCTGGCCCCTAAAGATATACTTTATTAATCTCAGAGGGGTAATTCAGTTTTTTCACTCTGTTGTCATATACACACAGGCCTGAAATACACACACATGCACAAACAAGATCTACACATGCATTAAATGGAGAAATGTCAGAATAAGAGTCTGGACTGGCACCCCAAGCAGTTGGGGGTTGGTACCTTGCTCAAGGGCACCTTGGCAGTGCCCAGGAGGCAAACTGGCACCTCTTCATCTACCAGTCCATACTCCATATTTAGTCCGGATAGGGACTTGAGCCAGCGACCCTCCCATTTCAAGTCCAGAGGGACTGAACTTCTGCTGCCCCAAATAAGACCAAACACTGACATAACATAATTTAAAACAATATGTCAGACAATGCAATATAAGATAACCACAGCAAACAATATAAACAGCACAGTATGAAAAATAAATAGATTATAATAAACAATAAAACCATTACTCCCACCATGTGACAAAAGTACTTCTATGCTTCTACTCCATTATATTTTAGAGATAAATATTGTACTTTTCACTGCACTGCATTTATCTGATGACCTAGTTACTTTAATAAATCATTGAAATCAATTTTATATGTATAAATAATTAATTTATTGAATATACATTGTTAAATATTAAACTACCTAACCATATAAAAACTTTATAATCAGCTCTACCTTGACAACATTAAAATGCTGCTTACATTTTTGTTAATTGCATTTTTAGTACTGTTGCTGCTAACACTTAATTACTATTACCTTGTTTTTGAATAGGGGTTGTACTTTTGATTGAGTATCATTTTATCGTAGTATTGCTACTGCATTAACAATCTGTATACTTCTTTCACCATTTGTCCCATTGGGAGCATGAAGGTCTGCATAAAATTTTATGGCAATCCATCCAGCAGTTCTTGGGATATTTCAATCTGGGCCAAAATGGTGGTGTGACCAACCGACCATTGCAGCAGATAATGTCATGCTGCTCGCACAGCTGATATTCATTCCAACATTATAGAACGTTCTGAGATTGCAGAGGATACAGCTGAAAGGTTGGGATGACACAAGTACCTGTACTGAGCATTGGTACATTTAATGGGAGCTGTAGTTGCATGCAAATATAGTAATCTTTGTTTCACTGCCATTTTGTTTTATTAAAACAAGAGCAGTAGTCACTTTTTCAAAGTCACCGATGGTTAAAATGCCGAGTCATGGATTGCATTTGGTTACTGAAGCTAATGGAACATAGGCTAACCTGCGCATGACATCGTGACTTCAGCACTCTTTGGGGTTAGTGCTTGTTTGTTGTCATGATTGAAAAACAGCTGAATGTCAGGCAGCATGGTTTCTGATTAGTGTTATGTTTAGACTTCTGTTTTAATTTGGTGTTATTGTTTGAAGTAGTTCTGTTTTCGTTGAAGGCCAAGTCAGGAAAATCTGAGGATTTGAAAGTGTGTTGGAAGTTGTTTTTAAAAGCGACATTCAGCATGATTATTTTAAATTCACACATTAGTAGAAGAGTCAGCAATGCGTGACGCTGAACTTGAATTACATTAGAACATTTTCATTTTACTGTTGTTTTACGTTCTGCTAAGATGTAATGCAAAATGAAGTTGAGAGCTCCTGTGGGCTATGATGCATTTAATCATTAATAACTAGACCTATAAAGACTGTCTATTCTGTTTATTAAAATGTACACCTTATGAGCAGTGGCACACACAAAAGCAACAATTTTTATGCCTCTTCACCAGCAACATCCATGGCTGGAGGCATTTTGTTTTCTGATTGTCCATATGTACTTATGTCTGTGCCATTTTTTGTGGACATTATATCTCAAGAACACTATGCCAATTCTATTAGATTTGGCATAGATGTTTACTTGGACTCAAAAATGAATTTTTGATTTCAGTTGACAAAGGTCAAGGTTAATTTGACCTTGCGTCCTTGTCATTCTTGTGAGCATGATATCTCAAGAACACCTTGAGGGAAATTCTTCAAATTTAACTATTATAATAGTTAATAATAATAATGATTAATCATTTTAATTCAGATATAACCATAGCTCGACTTAACTGCGCGTGTAAATGTACTGTCTGTATGTTGTTTCATTCCACACTGTCTTGTTCACTCATTCTAACTCACATTTCTGCTCCTAATCTCTGAATCCCCCACCACCACCACCACCACCATCTTCCCAACCACGATTCCCAGGCATTTGTCATCTCCTTCACTTCAGACTTCATCCCTCGAATGGTCTACCAGTACATGTACAGTCCTGATGGCTCCATGCATGGATTTGTCAACCATACGCTGTCCTACTTTAATGTCAGCCACTTCCAGGAAGGCAAAGAAACCATGGATCCGTTGCACCTTGGCTACCCTGTTGAGATGTGCAGGTGGGAAATCAGTCTCATTTCATAATTGTCAATGTCATGATAAAACCATTTTTAGCATTTTTAACATTGATACAGCACTGTTGAAATGTGTTACTTGGTAAAATTAATCCAGTGAGACCAATGGTAAGAAGATCAATGGTAAAATATGACTGTTCACTAAGACTAGAGAACAAGAATTGAATATTCAGTGCATTTACAAAGATGCACACATTATCACCACTGCTTAATGATCATTTCTCAGGTAATAAATACTGCTGTGTACTAACATGTTTGAGTTAATCACAGCTAGTTGAAACCATTCAGCAGAAACACAGTCTTGTTAAGTTTAAATTATCAGCCTATTCTCAATCCCAACTTGTCAAATACTGCAGCTTTGCCAGTAATTTCAGCATCAGATACCAACATACAAAGGAACCTTCCGCAGCGGTATGATTCGCACCAGGTAGTGTCTACTTCTGACGGCGCTGGCCAAAACCAAACTCATCAAATACCACTGCTTTGTCAGCGGATGTCGGTGTCAGAAACAGATGAACCATGGTGTTCTATTATAAATATAACCACGTGTTTTTGTTGCCTAAATTTAAGGACATAAACTTGAAAGCAGTTTTGCCTATGTAGTAAGTTTATTTCATTACTGTATGCATGGAACAAGCAGAAAGTGTACACTTCTTGTGAAAACTGAAACATATTTTAAAAAGACACAATTCATCTAACAAGTGTCAATTGAGATGCCATCCATGATCATCCAAAGCCGATGCAGGAGGATACTTGGCACATGGTAATTTGATGTTTGAGTTCACTGACAAAGCGGCAGAATTTGATGAATTGGGATTGGGATTAAGAATTTACTGAAATTATTTGAGGGCTACCATGAGCGGTGTTACTCACTTTTAATGAATGATGTGTAAATAAAGTGTTCTGCAACCCCCTAATCTCAAGTGTAAACAATTCATCATACATAGATGTATGACCTCACTTTAATATTACCCTTACCTGTTACAAAGGAGGGCAGCACTCAGGTACCTCACAATGCACTGCACAGGTTTGATCCCTCTGGCTGGCTGGAGCTGTTCTGTGTGGAGTTTGCATGTTCTCTGTGTGTTTTCTCCAGGTTCTCCAGGTTCCTCACACAGCCTAAATACATGCTGATTAGGTTAATTGGTGACTCTAAATTGCCTGTAGGTGTGAATGTGAGTGTGAATGGTTGTATGTCTCTGTGTGTCAGTCCTGTGATTGTCTGGTGACCTGTCCAGGGATCAGCTGGGATCGACTCCAGCACCCCCTGTAAAGGATAAGTGATTACAGATCATGGATTGATTGATGTCGCAAAGGATCTTATAGGTTTACAAGCCATTTTGTATCCCCTACTACTGTTGATGCTTTACATAAGAATAATGCAACCCATCCTGCTGTACTGTTCCAACTGTTTCTTCCCCATGTTAACCATCTCCAACAAAAACAAATTTACCAGCATCACACGCACTGCCTCCATAATCATCTGCCTTTTCTCACCCAGTCTCCCACCTCAGAGCCATCACATGCCTACCACTCACAATACCAAATAACACTGATCACCCCCTAAAACAACACTTCGCATTCCTCTCATCTGGCCAGACATACAGGACTCTTAAAAAGAGAAAAGCTCCTTTCAGCTGTAGCAGCTCTGAACAATCTGCCTCACTGACACTGTGAGCTGGGATCATTGAATGAATGCACAAATGAACATTTTGTGTACTGTCTATTTCTGTATGCTGTCATGTGCATGTTGCTATCCATATGTTACTATCTGTTGCTATATGTTTATCTGTTGGTGTGTATATCTGTATGTTACTATGTTGAACTGGCTGTGAGAATATTTATCCCTCTGGGACCAATACATCTAAAACTAGTGGGATTTTGTGGTGTTAATTTACATAAGGAGAGCATGTGCTTCCATCCACTTAAGTCACATCTGCAAATATTTAGAAATATGACTGCTAGGGATGTCCCGATCCAGCTTTTTCACTTCCGATCCAATACCGATATTACAGCCTTGAGTTCTGGCCAATACCGATACCAATCCGATCCAAGCGCATATTATACATATTCACTTATTTTGTTGTCAGTCATGTTAGAAAAGTTTTGATCAAGCAATATCACTCTAACAAGAACAACTACTTAATCGGGTTAGTTAGAATGATCCACAACAGTTGGTATGAGAAATTGTCCTGTTTATTGTTAACAGGGTTAAATAAACAATCTTTAAACTTGAACATTAACATTAAATAAAAAATATAGCTGGTTTGCTTTGGCTGCTTTGGCCCCTTAATAAATAGAAAATAAATCAACACAAGAAATCTTTAAAATGTCTAACAATGAAATTAAAATAGCAGCAAGACTCCACACACTTGTGCTTTGCTCCCCTAATAAATAAAAAAAAGATTAACACCACAAGACATTGTTGGCATTTAACAAACAATGCAGCCTTTCCTTTTCAGTTATTTTAGTAGTGTTTTTGTAGTCCATCCATGGCTCCAATTTCACTAATTGTGCCCCAAACAATGCTATCAGTGCTCTTTACTTAAACAGTAAGAGTGTAAACCAAATAAAAATATCACTCTCAAAAAACCAGAGCAGAAAACAAATAGTCTGCATGCTGGCCTGGTGGATTGATAGTAAGAGCTGGAGCGGATCACTGGAATGGACTGCTTGACTTGCGGAGCGCTGGGCTGGCCGGAAAACCTGGAGTGGATTCCGTGAAAAACTGGATCAGAGTTCTTGGATCGGCATTTTCCATGCAGTCCGATCCGATGCCGATGACCGTTTTTTGCTAGTATCGGCGGCCGATACCGATCCGAATATCGGATCGGGACATCCCTAATGACTGCAGTGGGCAAAACAGAAAACTCACTGTAACAATGATGTGATAGAACAAAATACTTGGAAGGAGCAGTGTCGGGAATTCTGGTTTTTAATAAAAATGTCCTGACAGATTTGATGGATTTCAGGAATCACCCTAAAGTAGGGATGTCCCGATCCGATATTCGGATCGGTATCGACCGCCGATATTAGCAAAAAACGTGCATCGGCATCGGATCGGACTGCATGGAAAAATGTCGATCCAAGAACTCCGTCATCCGTCCATTCAAGCAGTCCACTCCAGTGATCCACTCCAGCACTTACTATCAATCCACCAGGCCAGCATGCAGACTCACAGGAAACAGCAGCACCAGGCTGGCACTGACACTAAAAAAATAACTTTAAAGGAAAGGCTGCATTGTTTGTTAAATGTCAACAATGTCTTGTGGTGTTAATCTTTTTTTAATTTATTAGGGGGCCAAAGCAATGTTAGACATTTTAAAGATTTCTTGTGTTGATTTATTTTCTATTTATTAAGGGGCCAAAGCAGCCAAAGCAAACCAGCTATATTTTTTATTTAATGTTAATGTTCAAGTTTAAAGCTTGTTTATTTAACCCTGTTAACAATAAACAGGTCAATTTCTCATACCAACTGTTGTGGATCATTCTAACTAACCTGATTAAGTAGTTGTTCTTGTTAGAGCAATATCGCTTGATCAAACCTTTTCTAACATGACTGACAACAAAATAAGTGAATATGTATAATACGCGCTTGGATCGGATTGGTATTGGTATCGGCCAAAACTCAAGGCTGTAATATCGGTATCGGATTGGAAGTGAAAAAGCTGAAACGCGACATCCCTACCCTAAAGACATCTGTGAGTAAGAGCTTTCCAGTCTCACATCTCACTTAACACAGAGCATGAATTACTTTTAGACCCTGACACCATGTTGGGAGATTTCAATAATCTGTGAAGTTGCTGATGTTCTGTCGATTACACCCACGTGGATAGTATTAGTACGAATCTTTCGCATCCATCCATCCATCCATCCATCCATCCATCCATCCATTTTCAACCACTGATCCAAGGCCAGGTCCCTGGGGCAGCAGGCTGAGCAAAGTACTCTAGACGTCCCTCTCCCCAGCAACACTTTACAGTTCCTCCTTGGGGATCCTGAGGTGTTCCCTGGCCAGACAAGACATATAATCCTTCCCTCTAATGGGAGGTGCCCAGGAGGCATCATGATCAGATGCGTGAACCACCTCAGCTGGCCCCATTCGACGCTAAGGAGCAGCAGTTATACTCTCCATTATATCCTCACTCGTGAACAAAACCCTGAGATACTTGAACTCCTTTGCTTGGGCCAGTAACTCACTCCCAACCCAGAGGGGGCAACCCACCGGTTCCAGCAGAGAACCATGGCCTCACACTTGGAGGTGCTGACTCTTATCCTGACCATTTCACACTTGGCTGCAAACCACTCCAGAGCATCTTTCTCAGTCACATTTAAAATTGTATTTTGATGTACATATCAATCTGCAGTAGATGGAAAAAAAAGACTTTTGAGTATATGTTGTTAGGAGCAGATTTTAACACAAATGCAATTTTAATCCAAAATGAGCACCAACATTGTACTTCACCTCCCAGTCAGCATAAATACAGTCTCAGCTGCGCCTCTCCTCAGCACAAACATGTTCATTTAGAGCCAGTTACGAGATTAAAAAAAGTAGCTTAGTGCCTGGGTAAAAATGCCAAAAAAACTGTGTTTGGTCAAGTGTTGGTTTTCCACCACCAGGTAAACAGAGCCTGCTCAGAGGCAGAGCGGGTTGTTCAACAATCGGAAGATCAGAGGTTTGATCCACGGTTCCTCCAGCCCGCATGTTGAAGAATCCTTGGGCAAGATACTGGACCCCAGATTACTTGATGGCTGTTCCATCCATGTGTGAGACTGTGTGAATGGTTACTGAGTAGCAGGTGGCACCTTGTATGGTAGCCTCGGCCACCAGTGTATGAATGTGTGTGTGAATGTGACTCAGTAGTGTAAAAAGCGCCAGCTCCAATTCTTCTGCAGCTGTTGGGAAAAGGAAATGAGTCAATTATTATATCAAGAAGGAACAATCAATTGCTGGATTATCAATAAAGAATTAAAGACCAATAGAAAATGCATTTTTGTCTCTCCAGGTATAAGGACTACAGAGAACCTCCTTGGTCAAACACTCCATATGAGATCTCAAAGGAATTCTGGGCGGTCCTTGCTGTCCGACTGGCATTTGTCATTGTTTTCCAGGTAAAGTGAAACATGAAGGAAACAGATGACTGTTCTAATGAATTTATCATAAATTGTATTGAATTATAACAGATCTCATTGAATATTAAATTTGATAAGAAAATATGTACTGTTGGGCGGCACGGTGGTGTGGTGGTTAGCACTGTCGCCTCACAGCAAGAGGGTTGCCGGTTCAATCCCGGGTGTGGGAGCCCTTCTGTGCGGAGTTTGCATGTTCTCCCCGTGTCAGCGTGGGTTCTCTCCGGGCACTCCGGCTTCCTCCCACAGTCCAAAGACATGCAGATTGGGGACTAGGTTAATTGATAACTCTAAATTGTCCGTAGGTGTGAATGTGAGCATGAATGGTTGTTTGTCTCTATGTGTCAGCCCTGCGCCCTGCCTCTCGCCCGATGTCAGCTGGGATCGGCTCCAGCCCCCCCGCGACCCTCAAGAGGATGAAGTGGTTAGAAGATGAATGAATGAATGAATATGTACTGTTACGCGAAGGCATTTAGTAACTATTTTTGAGTGAACAGTGCTGACCTAGTGCAGTTAATTGAGAGTCCGGTCAGAGCAGTTCAGACAGAAATCAGCCAATTTCAATAAAATGGCCACAAACAGCAGATTGGCTTGCATGGATGAACCAAATCCACATGGAGCTCTCCATGAAGCTTTCAACTTTGCTGATGTTGGAGATCCAAATACGCACTATTTTCCTGAACTTCATACCATGGTAAAGTGAATACTTGTTTGGCTGCAAGGTGTCTGTTAAAACTAGTTATGGATAAATAGTTCCAGTGAAACTGTCTGTTCACCATTCTAAATTAATGCACTTGCTATATAATAGTATTAAAATAAATCTAATATGAGTAAGGGAGGCAGTCAAAGCCTCTGTTTACAATTAATTTCCATCATGTCCATCAGTGCTTCATCCTCTGAACACTACAGGGTGGAGACTGTAACACACCCTGCAGGTACTACACTGCCCCTCTGAACTTAAGCAATCATTTCACATCCCATCCACTATTTCACTCACTGCTTCAGGCTGCAGCCAACAGTAACATTACACATGGAGTATTGTTTGTTTGTGAAAATTTTGATATTGATCTGGGGACAATGACAGGGTTGGATAGCTAGCTAGTCTTGTTGTTAAAAATAATGTCACATTATATACTGTTTGTCAACAGTATGCAATGTTATTGACTTTAAATCTTGCTAACATAATGTTCGCTTTCTGGCTAATAGCTTGGCCAAAGGGTTCCATGAACTTGGCAGACTAGAATATATCCTGTTGCTAGATTGTATCTAAGGTTCATCCTATTTACTGGAGTAGTGAATAACGTTGCCATTGCATAAGAACCTTACAGGGCAGCAGCGATTGTTCCAGGTATTAGATAAACCTTCAGGAGTTACCAAGGAAAATGAGTGAAAAACTTGCCTGTGAAAAACTTAAGATTTTGACTGCAAAAAGCATAAAAATAGAAATTCATTATTTCTTTGGTAAGTGACTATGGTATAAGCAGGATAATGCCCTTCAAGGTTGAGTAATCCTAAAATGTATTTCTGTGTCCATTCTCACTGAGGGCGAATATCTGCGCGGATTATACAATATAAATATAAAAGTTGATATGGAAGTTTGCACACTGGGGCGAAACTTTCGTGCAGTGAAAAAAGTTTCCGCCTAGACTTTGACCCCCCAGCGGAATTTGCCGGTGGAACTACACAGCTGGGCCAATGAAATTGTTTGTATATAGTCGCGCAGACCCGGGAGAGTCCGAAATCCAGTCAGGACAGTTTGGGAGAAAGATTATTAAACCTCGTTTCACAGCACCCCGTTAAAATTAAAGGACAAGGACAAGGTCAAGGTCAAGGCAGTCCATTGTCCAGCTTGGTGGCAACGGTGAGAGTGATAAGTGCTAAAGAAAGTTGATATTGACGCTTGTTAAACGTTAGCTTGCTAGCTCGCTGCTGCTGCTGCTGCTACTCTTGTCCATATTCACCCACGCCCGTTCACACAGCGCGGACTTGGAACACAACAACGCGAAATTCCGTACCGTGCCTGTGTGTATGGTTTGAGTGCTGTGCGAATATTCCGCAAATCCATCCTGCATTTCCGTATCGCGGCAGTGAGAATGAACCACACTCGTATGACTGAACTGCACTGAGCAAAACAAATATACAGATGAAAAAAACAACTGTCAGCAGCATCTGTCGCAAGGGCACATCGTGTGCTGATCATGTGTATCATTTAACCGCTATGATTGGCCATTGGCGAGGCATCCACGGCTTTAATAGAGCCACGCAAAGACGCAGCTGAAACAATTTGATGACTGATGACTGAAATAACTGATTCTGAGCACAGAGTACAAGTGTTGAGATCATCTGAGGTAAAAACATTCGCTTTTTCGTTGGTTGGCTCTTGTTTAACACATAGAAGTTTTTCTTGTTAAATACATTACCATGTTGTTCAAAGTAAAAGAAAGAGCCAACGTTTCCTGTATCATGATGAATGTCAAGGTAAATGTCGCCCCCTTGTGGCACTTTAATTTTCCAATTTTCCCCTGCCAATATTGGAGGCAGGCCTGTAGGCTTATTTGCTAATTGAATCCAGAGGAAATCTTGGCCAGTATGACCTCATTAGGCAGACTGGGGATGTTTATTTCAGTATTGAGGAGAGGACATTGTACATTTGAGGACACAATTTACATCTTAACCTCTGTCTCTTATTGAGTAGGCCCCTTAGATGTCTTAGAAAAGAAGTTTTTCTTGTCAGCACTGCTTCCTTAGTATCTTTAGGTCTGATGCTGAAGTTGACTATAAATGCACCCTTTAAAGCTGATATTTCAAAAAAAATTCTTCCCGGGGGAGCATGCCCCCAGACCCCCTTGGGGGGTTCGTATCCTTCTCTCTTTTTTCACCATTTTCTGTTTGCATCCCTGTCAAGTGATTGTGAATCAGTTTCACCTGCTTTGGTGCAAATCAAAGTGCAGCGAGGGGCCTGAGGACAGAGTGATGTTGTATGCTGTAAAGCTCTTTGTGGCTTGTGGTTTGTGATATTGGGCTTTAAAAAAAATAAAATTGATTGATTGATTGATTGATTGATTGATTGACTGATTGAACAGGTGCAATGGAAAGGCAAAAGCAAGACAACCCCCCCAAAAGGGAATGGTTTTACATGTGGTGGCCACAGACAGTTGCTCTCTCCTTATCCTTCCTGACTGATTCTTCTCTAGTTTTGTGTTCTGCTAGTGTCCTTGTCACTACTGGTAGCATGAGGTGGTACTTGCAGCCTACTCAGGTTGCACAGGAAGTCGAGCTCCTCCAGGATGGCACATTGATACGTGTGGTCATACAATTACATCAGTAACTGAATACATGGATTAGTGATCAGTTTCCACCACTCATCATAGCAAAGTGAAGAGCTCTGCTGCCATTTCTTCACTCCAAGCGTAGCTAGGGACACTGTGGATAAATTAAGCATGTAAAGGATTTGACAAGTTTTATCTTCACTGTAGGAACAACAGCCTTCTGAACTCTCCCAAAACCTAGATTGTAAGTAAATGGTCAGGGGTGAGATGGGCCGCTCTGAGGGTCAAATATTTACGACTCTGCCCCCGGCCTCACCTCATTCTGAAGGAACTCTTTCACCGTGATCCTGGCATCAAGAGTGGTAAAGGTGTCAATTGGAAACCCTCCAGATCCCAAGTTTCTGATTAACATCCTGAAAAAAATCCAGCGTTTGACAACTCAGCCAGATTAACTGCCAGACCCGGGGTCATTAACTATGCTTTTAAGTTCAACACATCCTCTCCCCTTTTTGTCACATCCATGGGAGCTACCCCAGCTCCATCTGACTCTCACCCGGGTGAAGATGAGATTAAAAAAACAGATGTGTGAGTCGTAAATTCAGTATGCATTCCTGAGCAGAGACTAAGTTTCCCTTGTAACCAACTTGAAATGTCTCTTGAAAGTAAACTATACATTTCATCCATGTTCTAACATTGTTACTGTGCATAATCCCTGTTTGTTAGTTGAATGATTTTTTTCCCCACTCTTGTAGGTCGTAGTATGAGTGAGTTATAAGTTCATGTGTTTAATCCCTCATTTAACATGGAGTCATACTGCCATCTTGTGACCATAGTTAAGAAGGGTTCCCGTAAGAAATCCCATATTATATTTCTAGTTAAAATATAGTTGGATTGATTAATCAACTTGTCTTTATTAATATGTGTGTTCTCATTTAGTTGATGCAATTGCAGACTAGTTTGTAGTGTTTGTTCACAAAACATTTATACTTGTGTTCCGCTGATATGTGCGGTATAATAATCATATTAAATCTAATTTGATGTTAAGAGCCGATTTTGACCATAATGGGAAGAGTATGTGTCTATCACGTGTAACATGTTAAAGTAATCTTGCAAAATAAAGTTCATTAAGTTTCCTTCGAAATAAAGTAATGTCTAAACTAAGAGACCCGCCTTGCCTCAAACACGCCCACTCAACCTGGTCGGATAAAACTATTGAGGTCGGCGCATCTCCATGCTTACTTTTCCTTCCTGTTACTTTCTTTACTCTTTACTTTGTGCCTTTACTTTATTTTACTTTTTCTTTCTTTTGCCGTCCCTCCTTCTAGTTATACTCTTTATGCCTGAACCTGTTAGCTTTGAAACTTGGTTCCTGCATAACCCTTTCTTTTCTTACGATTGAAATTATTTTAATTTTTTAAGTTTTGCTCGACACATCCAGGATTGTTTTGTCTGTCCTGAGGTTTCTTTCTTTTTGTATGTGCCTTCAGTATCATTATACCTGAAGTGACAAAGTCAGCCGATTGCAACATTTTTTCTACGCGTTGATAATAACTTTGATAATAATATCGAATGGCCGACGAGATTGTTTCTAACTTTATTATAAGAGAGTAGCCAAAGCTAAATAGATGAGCGACTGTTCAACCTGCAGCTCCATCAAAGATTCATCAGATCCAGCTGGCTGCCAGACACGTGCCAAAGTGTCCGCAAAGCAGGGGTTCTTGTGCCAAACTAAGAGAACTGACGTTTGCGGGCCAACTGAAGGACATCGCAGTCAGGCTCAACCGCTCCTCCACCACTGGATTCCAGCTGGTTTCATTCTGCTGGGAAGTCTGGGAGCCGCAAAGTGACAGTCCGGGGTCCTCGGAGAAATGTCAGCCTGAGCAACTCTGCTCAAAGTAGGCCAAATCCGCCGCACCTGACGCAGCCGCTGTGTTGTGATAAGAGTTGATGTCGAACAGGAGACTTAGTTATTCTGATCTAAATTTAGATGTTATTAGTTAAATGGTTTTGCGCATCCCTGCATCCCCAATTTATCTATAGTCACATACTCTCTCTCACTATCGCCAAACTAAATAACTGACAAAAGTGTTACCTCTTGTCTTAATTCATTTATACATACTGTTTATTTTGTGTTATTTAATAGTATCTTCATTTACTATTCATTTACTCAGTTGTTAAACATTTAGCCCTAAATAAATTCATAACCCAGATATTGAGATTGATCCGTTATTGGTAAGTGTACCAAGTTACTGTTATTGGTAAGTGTACCGAGTTACTAATTTGATTAGTTGCTTCCGTCCATAGGAGGGTGGTACCCCTAAATTTATTACAAGTGCAAACATTTTCTTAAGGTATTGCTCCTTCATCACCATCCACACATTTGAGAAGTAACATGTAGTTAGTACATTTTATGTCGATATGGACACAGTGCCGTGACAAAAATATTTGCCCCTTCCCAATTTCTTCTTCTTTTTTTTAGTTTTTTTTTATTTGTAACGCTTTGCAGTTTCAGATCTTTAAATGAAATGAAAGAATAAGAAAACCTGAGTATAAACAAAACACAGTTTTTAAATGATCATTTACTTTATTATCATAATGACAAAGAGAAAACAAGATTTTAGATTTTTCTGCACATGTATTAGGAAGAAGAAAAAACAGAAATATCGAATTTATTGTAAAGCCAAATGGAATAATGTGGAATAATGTGTCAGTGATCGGTTTGCATGGGCTTGGCCCTCTACGGCTCGTCCATAATGCCAGCACTGCTGTAGTATTTTCAGTTTTGGTTGTTGGTCGTTTCCGTTTTGGTCTAATCTTTCCTGTAATTTTAACATAGCTCACTTTTATAATTAATTACAGGAAAAAAATGACATGATTCTCTTCCATTTCTCTCTACCAGAATGTTGTAATGCTGATGAGCGACATTGTAGACTGGATGATTCCAGACATCCCTAAAGACATCAGCATCCAGATCCACAATGAGAAGATTCTGTTAGTAGACCTCTTCATGAAAGAGGAGCAGAACAAGATCAACAGTCTTGAGAGCAGGGCCTCCACAGGCAGTAAGGAGAACTGCAGCCAGAGCAACAACAACAACAACAACAACAACAACAACAACAGCACAATGGTTCACCCACGCTCAGGACTGCACAGCAACAGCACTCAAAGCTTCTAATGCCAGTAACAATGAATTCTTAGTTCAGTGGAGTAGTTCTTGGTTAGCAACTCTTGGTTAGCAAGTCTTGCTAGCTGCCTACTCGCTCAGGCCTTAACTATGTGTTTTTGTCCTTGTTCAGAACATTCCAACAGTTGGGAGAGCAGCTGGCTGATGAGGTGCGAGTAAGTGCGTGCTCAGATTTGTGAAAGAGTACAGGAATCTGTAAATGTGTTTTATGTTTTGCATGTGTACCAATATTGTGAATGTGTACACAAAGCTGTAAATTCACACACAGATTTGAGAATATGTACAACAATAATCTGTGCTCATATTTGCAAAGAGTACACAAGTCTTTCAAATGTGCATAAAATGTACATGTATAAAAAAAATCAGTGTAAATGGCTTTTTTATTAATGTGCTAAAAATCCAAGTAGGGTAGCTTATTTACTAAGCCTGTCATGAATTACGGTCACCAGAATTACTAAATTAAGCGGGGTATTTACGAAGACTACAGGGCCCTATTTCAGAAATCAGGATTAGTGAAAACTGAGTATGTTGAGCCTGAGATGAGGGTAACACTGAGTTTGCGGTTTCACAAAGCCAGTTCAGCATAACCCTGAGTCAGTTACTATGGCAATATACTCCATGAAGCAAACCTGCTGGCTGACAGGCTGTGGCTGATTGCCCGCTGAGCATGTAGCAGGACGGCGAGACATGGCGTGTCCTTTGGTGAATTAAGTCATGGACGTTGAGGCACAGTTTATTCAGAGGCTGTTGCATGAGGAGATGGTGATTAGACCCCGTTTGGATGTCTTATTGTTCCCGGAGGAGTGTCCATATGAAATAAACTATGTCACCACACACTCTATCATTTATCTAACAATCTTTTCCACCCAGATATATCAAATATTACACATCCTGGATTTGCTTTATCATCAGAGCAAATTTTAACATCAGAGATACTGAACACATCAGCAAGACAACAGTTTGTCAGGCCATAAGAAAAGTGACTCTGGCTCTGAAAAGACTTTTGCCCGTTTTTGTTGTTTTCCCTGGGCATAAATCAGAAAGGATCCTCAGAGGAATTCCACAGAATTGCAGGGTTGTCAGTGTAAATAATAACTTAATCAATGTGGATACACTATGCAATGATTTATGAATACTTTTCATGAATTTTAAATATTTCACAGTGTAATTGGCCACATTTATGGGACTTACATCCCCATATATATGAACATTGTTAAAATATAAAAATGTTAATATATTTTCTGTATATTAGACACATTAAGGCATCACATTACATAACATCATATAACATTACCTATTAACATGCTCTGCAATCTCTTCCTATGCTACCTCACGCTGTTTAGCTGCAGCTGCTAAACTGGGGTGAAATAAGTGGCTCAGCTTTTAACTCCACTTTTTGCCATTGAAAATCATGTCATCTGCACTCCATTGATGATGGCTTGTGGTGCTCACTGTGAACGCGCTTCCCTCAGGCTAAACATACTCAGAGTTGATTGAACTAATTCTGATCAGCAGTTCTGGAGCTGAAAACTCAAGAGTTTTCTAGCTCAGGCTCAACCAACTCAGAGATCAGGATTAGGCCTGAGTTTGTTGAGCCTGCTTTCAGATGTATATGAGCCCAGCTACACTTCATCTGATTTGCACAAAGTGCCAAGAAATAAATGCAGAGAATTTTTGTTGTTGTTGTTGACACATTTGGAACTGCAAGTGTGTATTCATCTGGCAGGAGACAACTGGAAATAGAAAGGTGACAGGTTTGTAGCATTGGCGCTCTTATGTGTTGTGTGCTCACTGTTTGGACCTGCTTCTCATCTCTCATCCTCTGTGTGACCAATAAAGGTACTGCAGATTTTAAATCTGATTTTCCCAGACATTCATTTTTGGACACAGTGACCTCTGCTGCTGAGGTCAGTCTGTGGTGATAAATCAGGTGCATTCACTTTTCACATATGGTTTACATTTCCTGGGAGCTCAGTTATCCACAGAGGTCTCTTCCTCTCTAAAACAAACAGACCAGGTGATTAAAACTGGCAAAAACACTGAATAACGCGGTTTCATGTTACAAATCAGTTACTTTTTGGCATGTTGAAGATGGGCCACTAGCCCAGCACCTGCTAATGTGGGCGGGGACACGGTAGAAACCTCAGGAAGAGCAACTGAGGAGGGATCCCTCTTCCAGGACAGACAGACGTGCAATAGATGTCGTACAGAACAGATCAACATGATAAATTAACAGTAATCTGCATGACACAATGAGACAGAAAGAGAGAGTGAGAGAGAGAGAGAGATGCAGGACAGACGGTAATGACAGTAGCTTACAGCAACATTAATGAAAGTAATAATATTATCGTTATAGTTCTGGCTACTGTGGTACAATATGTTGAAAATATATATTAATATCTGGTAGTATACATGTGTGACAATAATCATATGTGTATAATAACAGTAGAAGTATGACTAATGACTAATGATGGCAGCCGCAGCCGCAGCAGCAGGAGGCATCTGGCAGGACCATGGCAGCAGCACAACCACACACGTCATGCTGTCCAGGCACTGCTGCAATACGAGTTAATCTGAGAGACAGTGGAGCACAAAGGCTCCAGAGAAGAAGCCGAGTTAATGACATCCAGAATGGCCGAGTTAGCAAGATGCAGTAATAGGATACGAGAGAGAGAGAGAGAGAAGGAGAGAAGGTGCCCGGTGTATTATAGGGGCATCCTCCGGCAGACTAGGCTATAAGCTTTATCAAAGAGGAAAGTCTTAAGTCTAGTCTTAAATGTGGAGATGGTGTCTGCCTCCCGGACCGTAACAGGAAGATGATTCCACAGGAGAGGAGCCTGATAGCTGAAGGCTCTGGCTCCTGATGTACTTTTGGAGACTTTAGGGACCACGAGTAACTCAGAGCGCATTCTCAGAGCGCAGTGTTCTGGTGGGATAATAAGGCACTATGAGCTCTCTAAGATTTGACGAAGCTTGACCATTTAGAGCTTTATAAGTTAACAGTAGGATTTTAAATTCAGTTCTGGATTTTACAGGGAGCCAGTGCAGAGTAGCTAAAACAGGAGAAATATGATCTCATTTCTTAGTTCCTGTTAGTACACGTGCCGCTGTGTTCTGAATTAGCTGGAGAGTTTTTAAGGACTTACTAGAGCTACCTGATAATAGAGAGTTACAGTAATCCAGCCTAGAGGTAACAAAAGCGTGGACCAATTTTTCTGCATCTTTTCGGGTCAGGATAGGCCTAATTTTCGCAATATTACGCAGATGAAAAAATGCAGTCCGTGAGGTTTGTTTTAAATGAGAATTAAAAGACAAATCTTGATCAAATATTACTCCGAGGTTTCTTACGGTAGTGCTAGAGGCCAGAGCAATGCCATCTAGAGAAACTATGTCATCAGATAAAGAGTCTCTGAGTTGTTTGGGGCCAAGAACAATAACTTCAGTTTTGTCTGAATTTAACATCAGGAAATTGGTGCTCATCCAAGTTTTTATGTCTTTAAGGCAGTTATGGAGTTTAGTTAATTGATTACTTTCTTCTGGCTTCATCGATAAATACAACTGAGTATCATCCGCATAACAATGGAAATTTATAGAGTGATTTCTAATGATGTTACCTAAAGGAAGCATATATAGAGTAAATAGGATTGGTCCGAGCACAGAACCTTGCGGAACTCCAAAACAAACTTTGGTACGTAAGGATGATTCATTATGAACGTCAACAAACTGAAAACGATCAGATAAATAAGATTTAAACCAGCTTAGTGCAGAACCTTTTAGGCCAATTAAGTGATCCAGTCTCTGCAGTAGAATTTGATGGTCAATTGTGTCAAACGCCGCACTAAGATCTAATAAAACAAGTACAGAGATGAGTCCTTTGTCTGAAGCAATCAGAAGGTCATTTGTAATTTTAACTAGTGCTGTCTCAGTGCTATGATGCACTCTAAATCCTGACTGAAATTCCTTAAATAAATTATTATCATGGAGAAAATCACACAGCTGGTCTGCGACTACTTTCTCAAGGATCTTTGACATAAAGGGAAGATTAGATATTGGTCTATAGTTGGCTAACACCTCTGGATCCAGGGTGGGCTTTTTTCGCGGCAGATAATGTGTTATTTACAGCCTCATTGTCGGTGCCCTGATCATTCCCACTATATGGATGTACGCGGCTCTCGCGGATCAAAATATCTTCCAAAGGACTCCAAATGACACCAAACTTATCTGGGTGAGTAAACAACTGTATTTAATGCCAGAAATAAGATCCAGGTTGTAAAAAACGGAACTTCCCCTTTAAGATGGGTCCTCCGTTCTTGAATTACAAATCCAGCAGAGGAAAAGTCTTTGACTGGATGATGGAATGGAGAAAACATACTGCACAATCACTGCCAGGCAGTGTTGGGCAGAATGTTTTCTAATGAAATTTCAGTAATAATATTATAATTACTCCAAAACCAGACAACTCGTTACAACGTTACTTTAGTTATTACATCACCACTGACTTGAAATACAACAGTCATATCAGCGGACTCATTTTCGTAATTGTCAAGCTGCGCACACAGGACATAAAGCAGCAAGCTAGTTGGAAATGCTTACCATAGCCGCTGGAAATATTCCCATTACTTTGATTTTGTCAGGAGGAGAGATGACAAGAACACTGTTGCTGCAATTAAACGGACTAAAACGCTTTTCACTGCAAAAAACATGCACCCAAACCTCCGGTCTGAAACAACTTGGCTACTACGACCACCAACACAACTACGTTAAGCTCCAGGAAATACCCACCAAAGGTGAGCCCTCCTCGGCCATGGAGGTCAGCTGAAGTACTACACTGGCTAAACAACCAAAGCTGGATTTTAGTCTTGGATAGCTGTGGGCTACTAAGACGTGATGAAGCTTGAGGCTGGATATGTGGAGGATGAAATGTTGCTCAATGAATGACTCAACATCTTTCGGGCAGAGCCTTTGGAAAATACCGGTCACAGGCAACAGAAAACCCCCAGGTAAAAAAAGGGCTATCTAGCCTGAGCTACACTTACTGACCCTGACATTCCCACAGAGGCACATATCTGAATTTTGGGGATATATGCAATTACCAGTTTTATGGTGTGTAACGGAAAAGTAATATAGTAGAGTAGTGTATTGAATTACTGTTGGCAGGGAGTAATAAGTAAAGTAATATTATTACGTTTGAAAAGAGTTATGAGTAATATATTACATTTTTAGAGTAACGAGCCCGACACTGCTGCCAGGTCAGGAGACATTTTAGCATGCTCTTTCCACCACCATAAAACCTCAAAAGGATCCTGCTTGGGTGTTATAAATCTGATGTGGGCTGCAAAGTTGCTGGAGTCCTCACATTGATGACGAAGCAATTGTGGCTAACAGTGATTTAGATATCAAAATATTACACATATACTGCACATCTTTTTAATTTGTTTCGCTCTAAAAAATATATAAATATATTTATGTTCTCACCTGCTGCCTGCCCACATGTAGTTCATTTTTACCCCTGCTCGTACCCGTGAATTTATTTATATACATATTTTTAACAGTTACACAACTTTTTGCGGGTTACCCCTTGGCACCCTTGGGTACCTGACCTGGTGCAGGATTCTGGAAGAGACCACTGCAGATAGTTCAGCTCCTGAACAATGAACACTGAATTCTTATCAGGAGAAGTTTCAACTAGCTGAAATCTGCAGTCCTCACTGCTAGACACTACTTAATCCCCCTAAATCTTACATACCATTCCTTTAATTTAACATATGTACTATGTAAGACCAAATGCATCATTTACAGTTGTGCCACCTTTCTTTCATTACTTGCTTGCAGGACAAGCACTGTAAATTCTTAGAAAATATATATCCCTCAATACTTTGCTTAAAAAGCTGAAACTGCAGATAATTCTTTATTTCTACCTCAAACACACTTCTCATTTGTTCTTTGTCATGTGCTTTTTGCTACACTCCTGCCATACTTACAAACTGTGGGGAATATGTGGGGATCTCTGTAACTTTCAGGGTGTCTTTGCCCTGAGCTGAGGCTCACAGGCTCAGGTATGGCTCTCAGTGGTTGAAAATGGCTGGAAACTAGATCCCAGCTGGCTGCCAGCCACAGATTCTCCTGCTGGGAGCAGCGATTTTAGATGGTTGGCACTGTATCTGTCCTGCTGCAGCTGAGTGACTTTGTGCCAGAGACAGACATGGTTCTGTGACATCTATAGTGCAATGTCACATAGTGCAGAGCCAGTATTTACCAAAATACAACTATGCACTGCCTTATTTAATTGAATATTTTTACTGTCTGTGCTTCTCCTCTTATCTGTGCACCATGCGCTCTGTGCTGGGCATCAAGACACAACACAGATGGGCAGAGACTTTAAAGGTCAGCATGTGTATGGAGCTATATTGGGGCCAAATGTTTTGTACTTGAAAAAATAAAATTTGAAACTGAAAATTCAAGTTTTTGAATTTTGAAAAATACATCAATGTATTCAAAATAAGTGTACAAAAAGTTTTTTCAGGTTAAATTTAATTATGATTCACTCTGGTAATACTTTTGAATAAATTATTTATTTTCATTTTTCACTTTCATACATTTAGATATCTTTTCAGATTCAGATCTTATTTTTTTCAGTTTCAAATCTTTTTTTCACTTTCACACTTTCAGATCAGGTACAGCTTTACATTGCTGCACTGTCTGTTAAATTCTGTCAGTATTTTCTAGCTAGCCTCAAGCATTATAGTTCTCCAGGCTACAGCAGTAGCAATTTTGCCAAGCTGGCAGTCCCTTTTGTGTCTGATCTCTAATGGAAAGTTGTGAAAAAGTAGATAAGCCTATGCAGATAAGCCTTGTT